AAGACTCCAACGGATCAATGCTGGATGGAATAAAAAAAAAATCTATGACCAGGATCGGGATTGGCCGGTATAAACCGTCGGGATTACGGAATTGAGATAAAATTGAAGTCGGGTCACGTGATTAAAGAACTCTTTTGGGGACCCCCATATGAATTGCTGCTGCGTTGAAAAGTCATCAGAATCCCGATATCACACGGTATTAAACAAAAAGAAATCGTTGGCAGAGTTTTTTTAGGTTCGCAAGTGGTTTCTTTAACGGCTATTACATTCTTCAACTATTCAAACATTTGTCAACTTTGGAGAATATTGCTACATTATCTTTCCTCATATTTGTATGAACTATCCCTTGAAAGCTTATTTCGATTACATTAAAAAGCCATTTGTTACAATAAATAACATTTTCATTATAGGACCTTGTTGTTGTTCTTGATCTGTTACTAAAAGTGTCGCTACCTAAATTGAAATAACGCTACTTGAGTAAGAGTTAAACAGTGTAAGAATTAGCAGACCCGAAATACTCAATTTACGCAACGTTACACTTGGGGATGTAAGCTTGTAGGCTGTTTTGACTTTTTTTTTTAATTGGTAGCCTAAAGATTACATAAGAATCCAGCACCAAACAAAGTATGTCAACGGAAGGACAGCGTCAACAGCGAGCCGTACCTTGCGTGACAAATACTGAGTAACCACATGGCTTCAATTGCATAATCAGTCATAATTTATTTACCGTGCTATTTTCGGCACGGCAACTGAATGTAAACAAGCCGTTAGTCGCGTGACGTTTGAGAAGCCTGAAATATTTTGTGGAGGAGGTTAAATAAATTGTGTGAATTAAGGAGTGTCCACTTGAGCAGAGACGTTAGATTGTCAGCGATCTGTATTTGGATTTTCGTTTGTTCACTGCAGGATTTGTTCACACTGCTGAGAGGTAAGAATTACGTTCCATATAGATAAGAATTTAGCTTACTTGTAAAGTGTAGCCTCGCCAGATTTCTGCGACGCGAGCAAAGATAATTCTGCCAAGAACTCACACTCTCCGCTCGATCGAACTGAAGTCATTTCCCCTGAAGTGCTTCTGCCGCCATTTCTGTCAGTTCACACAAACTTTCTGATATCTCCAGTATTCACTGGTTTCCCTTTGTATTTTGAGTGTGTGGGTTTCTGATCTATTATAATTTCAACTTTAGCGACACTCGTCAAATGCAAAGCACGAAGACATAACGATTTTGATAAAGTAAAACGAAGGCGCCTTCAGTCAGCCTTCTGAATGAGACGAGTTAAAGTTACACACTCTCAACAACAGGGAGAAGGAAAGCAGTGATTGTCAGTTAAGATGGCCTTACGGGAAGTTTTGATCGAAGATTCTCTCAGGAATGGAAAGAATAAAGGGACCAACTGTTTCTGATCGTCTTGAAGACAATCAGCTCTGATCATTAATCCTTCCGTCTGGTAGTTGTTCAGTTTTCAGTTTTTCGCGTTAAGCAATGGAAGTGTTTGAACTTATGACAAAATACTCGCTTAATTCCATAGAGTGTACTTGATTTCATCTGACAGAAGTTAGAAACGAACTCAAAATCTCTTGAATCTGTAAAGAAACCAAACTGATGCTTGATTGCTTTGATCTAAATGCAGGTATGTCAGGTATTTGATAAAAAAAATTAAACTTGCTCGCTGTCTGCTTCATTGATTGACAAGAGGGTCCCGTATACTCTTTATGTGAAACACGACTGGGCTATTTTTTTTCCTCGTAAATCGTGAATTGAATTGGTTTTCCTTTTCTTGAATCGTGATTAAAAATAATATGATCTTTTTAGGTCCTCGTGGAATAATATTTTTTATTTCAACGTGACCTGTGAATGAAGAACTGATTTAAACGTGATTCGTGAACCATTTTGTTTTGCGCGATGAATTCCCAGCTTTTTGATGGTTTTAAAAATGTATTATTCTCGAACAGTAGTGGTTAAGTTTTCACCAGGGTTGTGACAGGACATGAACTTTACATGGATTAATAGAAGTCATAAAACAGACCTCTAATGTTCCTTGAACAAATAATGTAAGACATTCTGTCATCATTTGTCACTTAAGACTGTTCAAGACTAGGAAAATTGAAAATTTAGTTAGGGAATTTGGTCTCTTACTTTCATGTGAAATGTCTCAAATGCGTGAACGTGAAAAAACTTTGATATTATTCGTGATGTGTGAAAAGGCCAAATATTTTTATGTGACTGAGTTTTACAAAGGGGTATAAGTCCGAACCTCTGACAATGAAAAGATAGAATTCAAATTCCTGGAAAACTTTGAACTCAGTTCTTTGTGATTCATTAACAATCTCTCTTATTAATATGTATAAGTACCACATCATACTTGTAATGTGCATTTCAAGCCAAAAGAATTCAATTCCAGTATTAAATGGCCAGTTGTCTCTTGGTTGCTAAAAAGACAAAAAATTTCCTGTATATCTTCAATAATTTTGATTATTATAAATAAGATTTACAATGAAAAAGCTGATTGGTCAAAAGCATTCAATCAATATACAATAGTGTGTGAAGTTGACATGATAAAATGCAATATCTGATGCTTATACTGCATATATCTTCTCAAGATCAATGTCCGCCTAGTTTCCAAGACCTTACAGTTTAGTGTTCTCAAAATTTTGCAAACCAAGAGAGATGCTCAAAATAGCTGAATGCCTAAAATTTATAGTAAAACGATTATTTAATTCAGTTTTTTATATCATGCTCAACCTCATTCAATAATTGCTAATTACTCCGGTGTCAAGACCATGGATAGACCATGGTCATCCATGTTTCTGCCATGGTTGTTCACAGGACTTCCTGTTGTCCAATTCTGTTTGTAATAATACTCTTGATTAACAAATCAGACGACTGTTATCAATTAATCACAATATAATAAAATCTGAGAAAGAAACTATAGACATCCATTATACATTTTCATAAAAAACAACAACAACAACAACAATTAACTCGGCAAAATGCAGGACAACAGTGTGCGCACATCACACATTCTGTCCCCTTCCACAGGCATGACATGATAATTGTCCCTTTAATGGTCCTATAACACGGTCCAATTACAAGCATGACACACACTGTACTATAGGTGCTCAAATTGGGCTGAAGATAACCAATCATGTTCAAGAATTTTGTTATAGTTTTGATTAACAGATGAAAAGTTATATTTTCAGATGAATGTTTTTCCTCCTCAACATTTTTTAATTCTGATATTTGCAAATTATTGAGCCCTGAAAAGGAAGTAAGGATTTTTTTATTGCACTGAGACAGGGTAGCCTATATTAAAGATCCATGGTTTTTAAAATTGTTGATTTTTTTTGCTGCAAGTCAACCCTGAGTTTTTTTTAACCATTACTTGTTAGTTTGAAAAAGCAACAAATGCATTCAGTGCACATTTGGGAACATGAATTATTTTGTTCTTAGGTAAACACTCTCATTCCCTTGACCCTTTCACTCCCAAGATCTCTTTAGTAATTCTCCCTACTGTTTGCCATACCATTCTTATGATGTAAGTTTGGAGAATTTGGTATTGGATCATCTAATAATCCTCCAACTGATATTTTCCTTTGTTCATATCACTTACAATATCTGCTTGATGTTGTGTTAATATTTTGTCAGGAGAATTCCTGTATTGGTCACTAATGCAAGGTGAAGGGTTGAATAAATATGTTATACATGAGTTTTGATGTTGGTTAATGATTGCAGTTGTAAAATTTTTAACTTGAATTCATTTTGCTGAAAATTAAATATTCAAGAAACCAGGCACAATTTGTAAAGGTTTGGAGACAGTCCTTGATACATTTGTTAATTAATGAAGGATCTTAATTTATTTTACAGTCAACTCTCTGCTAATGGACACTCTCGTAAGTGGCCAGTTCTAATTATGGACACTTTTTTCAATTCCTCATTTTTCTGCTTAGTACCAATTGAGTTATTTATCACTATCCTCAGTTAATTGATATATACTTTTTCTTTTCACATTCCCTTCTTAGTTAAGCTTTTATTTATAAACATGAATAAGAAATTAAAACCAGTTTTCTCTACTCTTTGTTATTTTTTTATTTCATCAAAAACATTCAATACATAACATAATGAGTACAGCAACTATGGGTGATTTGGATGATATTTCATGCAAAACATGTCTTCAATTGAAAATTGTAATCTTAAAACCATCATGCTGCTAGACAAACTCTGCAAAAAAAAAACCAAACCAAACAAAGAGCTCTCATTCTGATTATTTTTGTATCAAACAGTGAATATGTCAGTGAGAAAAACTTATCCAATCAGTCGTTATTAAACAACTAGGACCATATTCTGATAAATTCACTCTGTTAATTACAAGTAAAAATAGCTTACACAGGATAAAATCAAACAACAGATCTGAAAATTAGCAACTTGTTCTGAATATCTACAGCTTAGAAATCATTCATGCTTTGGTTTATTTACAACTGTCTTAGGTTATCACATGAAAACAAAACCAACCATAGATTCGCACTAATTATTTCTTTCCTGTTGGATATTAATTTTGAAATGGAAGTAGTAATTCGTATGTTTTTGGAAAAACAGCTTGGAAAACTCAGTGTATTTAAATTCAAATATCTTTCTTGTTCATAATTGCCTTTTCGTTAACATCTATAACTCAAGCAATTGTTTATGAACACAAAAATTATACAATTAGATTTAAGTTGAAATGTCTCTGATGAATATAAATAACTCAAGACCCTTTACGCATAAGCATCCGGTCCTTTACTCAAAATGTTTAAAAGAACACTGAAGGGTGGATGGTTTCAAAAGATAATGTACTACGAGGAATAAATCATTACCTTGGTTCAGTAGATGTTAAATTATAAACCTCATTCTTGCCAATTTTTGGTTCGATTGTTATTATAAATGCCACAAGAAAGTTAGTTCAAGTTACTCACCTTTAATGACAGCTTGTTTTTTTCGTTCTGACAGTTACATTACTAAGACATGGATTCCCATATTTCTAAAGAAAAGCTGAGAAGTAAGATTGTAACAGATCGTTTCGGAAGAAAAACATTAAATCTGTCAGAGTGGGATTTGGTGGAACTGCCTGAAGCGGTGCTGGAATTAACTGAGTTGCACGAACTTGACCTGTCACAGAATAAACTTAAAACAATACCTGAAAATGTTGGAAAACTAAATAATATTATGGCACTTTATCTAACCGGAAACCAGCTGTCCATATTCCCCGCAAGTTTGACACAGCTGAAGAAACTCAAATGGCTGAACATCTCAGATAACAAACTAACCACCATCTCTGATGCTATTGGTGAGATGGTGGCACTGGAGGTACTGTATCTTAGTTACAACCAGTTGACTGTGTTGAGTCCAGCTATAACACAGCTGAAGAAACTCTACTGGCTGAACATCTCACATAACAAACTAACCACCATCTCTGATGCTATTGGTGAGATGGTGGCACTGGAGAGACTGGATCTGAGTTACAACCAATTTACTGTGTTAAATCCAGCCATAAAACAGCTGAAGAAACTCAAATCGTTGTTTGTAAGTGGGAATCCTTTTACAGTTGAAGGAATGAGAAGTGTTGTGGAGCTAGAAGATAGAGGAATAATTTACCGAGTATATTCAGATCTCCAAGGTGAGTAAAGGAAATTTCTGTTCACATTATTGTTGTGACGTGTGCATTTACTAAATTGGTTCTAATGATTGACTTGCAAGTGGTTATTCTGCTTGTTACTGATTATTACAGGTAGCTGGCGATAGGTAAACTGTAAATACTGTCAGTTTTTGTGTGGTTTAACAAAGTTGGCATCACTTGAGAAATACATGACATTTGTAACGGAAGTTTATGTTCTATATTGGAAAGCTTTATTTTAACAATTTGGCTGACATTGAAATTTAAGTTCATCAATAAGGAAATATGATTTGATGTGGAATCAAGAGAGTAAATGTTATTACAAATCATTCTATGCAGTTAGGCATCATTGTTTTGAGTTTTGCTTTCTATTTGACTGGAATAAAGAAAGGATAAAATGTATCCCAAGTCATTTCATTGATAGAAATTGTTGTTTTATTTTTGCTTTCTATTTGATTCAATGAAAGTGTTCAAAAATTGAATAACTTGTAGCTTGTGAAACAAAATTTATAAACTAATACAATTTGTGAATTAAGTTACAGGAATAGAACTTGACTTTGTTTTAAGCATGACTAAATTCTGATTGTTATTTCCATATCACTGGTGATTTTTGTGCAATGTTTTTTACACTTGTAGTTGTTACCTTTTGGATATAAGCACTTTTTCTTTCTCTCTTACCAACAATTAATTGGTTATTGACTCCTCACTACTTAGAAGAACTAATTTAAGTCATTGCCTCTCTTTTGTGTGATCAGTCACAAGTGGTTCTAATTCTTAATGTTATAAAACATTGAGTCAGTTTAGTTTTGGTGTGCATGTTCACCAAACTCATCACTACATTTTATGCCAGGAGAATTATTTTGATTGACTGTGTAATTTTTATGTGAGAGTGGAATAAATGTGTTTTCCAAACTCACTAATGCATTAATATCAGAAAAAAAAATTTGTGATGGTTTAGTTTTTATATACCAGCCTTTAACTCAAACATTATTCATGTTGGATATTTATAGTAGTTGATTTGTAAACTCTTAACTTTGCTTTTTTTTCAATTATTTTGTACAAATTTTTCAGTGCAGAAATTTCTTTTTTCTTTGCGTTGTGAAAACTCTCTAATAAGACCAAATAGCAGATCAACGCAAAGTACAGCTGGCTTATGAAAGGGCTTTGAAAGATGGATATGTCACAGTTTACCGCAGTAGAATATTACTCATTGGACAGGATCGAGCTGGTAAAACCAGTTTAAAGAAGAGTCTCCTAGGCCTTCCATTTGACTCTGAAGAACAAAGCACTGAGGGGATTGAAGTAGATCCTTCAAAGTGTGAAATTGATGTTGACCAAGCTGCAAGGAACTGGCAGTCCATTGGTGAGATTAAACCAGGACTGTTGGAATGTTCTAAAGATGTGGCAAAGACTGTTGTGGAGAAAATTTTTATACAAGATTTGGAGAAAGATTCAGTCCACATTTCACCTGCAGATTTTGAAGAGGGATCTTTTGATGGTTACAAATATGGCAGAAAAAAGGTGATGTCAGAATTCTAAAAACATTCTTTACAAGTACAGCTTTTTAATGACAGTATAGTTTAAAATGCTTAATGTCAAATAAAGATTATGTAAACCTTAAAGTGAAGCAAAAATTAAAATTGTTTTATTATTTTTTTAAATTGATGTTTTTTTACTTTGCAATGGTCTTAGCCAAAAAGCAGGGAACTGTTCATAGTCTAAACAATAATTTCCCTCCCAGTGTAGTACTTTCATTTTATTTAATTTACATCAAACTTTGGCATAATTATTTCAGAAGTGTAATTAGTTTGCTGGCTAAACTGAATCATTGTGGTACTTAACTCTTTCACTCCCAGATCAAATTTGCCATTCTCCTTACTATAAACCACACAATTTGCATAACAGTAGTTCAGAGAATTAAGTATTGGATCAACTTATTATCCCCAAATTGTTATTCTTGTATATTCTCATCACTTATCTGGTTGATATTGTATTGATATTGTAAGGAGAAATTCTGTCTTGGTTACTCATGGGAGTTAAAGGGTTAAAGTAATTAATTTCACCTTCTTTGATACTTTACTCAGGTTGAGGATAAAGGAGATAACCTGTCAGTAGATACTATGCACAACATTAGCATTGAACAATCAATGGACTGCATCTCAGATGAGCCCAAGGTAATTATTGATGTTGCTCAACCCCCTGACACTGTGAAGCATGTTCATCAGTGGTTGGAGTATCTCCAAGGCAAAGACACAAAAAGTGGTTCATTCAAAGGCGAATCCTATCTTATGGACATCTGGGACTTTGCAGGGCAGCACCTGTACTATGCCAGCCATCCTATCTTCTTATCACAGCGCGCACTGTACATATTGGTGCACAATCTCAGCAAGCCTTTGGATGCAAAAGCTGAGCCCTGCATGAGACAAGGGAGTAATGATGTGAAATTGGAAAACCCTAACAATGAAACAAACATGGAGAATTTGCTGTCATGGCTGGCTACAGTACACGGTGTTTCCCTGGCAACTGATGACCCAGATGATGGTGCACAACATAAGCTGCCCTACCTCCGTCCTCCAGTGTTTATTGTTGGAACACATGCTGACAAACCAGTTGAAGACATAGCAGTAATAAAGAAACAAATACAGGAGAGAATTTCTGGTATGGAATATGAGAAGCATGTGGTCAGACCCTTATTCTGCATTGACAACACTCAGGGAAAAAACTTGATTGACAACAGTCAAGGACAAAACTTGATTAAGAAATTTTTCCAGAAGATTCTAAAGCAGAGAGAGAAACATAAAACAGGTAAGATATCTCATGTCATATTGTATCCTTAAAACAATGTGTTACTTGCAGTAATTGAGTTTTTTGTAATTGCATACTAGCTCGTCTATGGGTCAATTCCAAGAACACTTAATTTGTGACCATTTCCTTTTAATCAAAGGCCCATTTGGTAGATGGTTGACAAGCATTGAGCATACAATAATTATTGTCTGACTCACATTTACATGTCATCCAGCAGTTCTGCTATGTGTCATTATAATTTTAAAAAGGTTGGTAGACATTAGGATACCACCCTGGTTGAATGAGTTCAGGTTTATAAAGGAAGCTAGTTAGAGTTGTTGCAGTTGTTTTTTTCATTAGCTGCATTCTTCTTAGCTTTCAGCTACTTTATGTACCAGCATCACTATACTGAGGCCTATAAATTTTTGCTGACAGATTCATTAATCTCAGAGTTTAAAATAAGGAACAGAAGATGATTTTGGGAAAAGGAGAATTATCTTCTGAGCTATGTTGTCAGCTACAGCATAAAATATCTGTTGTCACACATGTATGATACAAACTATTCTCATTGTAAGCACATGTTTCTGTGTTACATTATGCTTTGAATTCATTTCCTAAGCATATACAGCTGAGGAAGAAGGAAAAGGAGATGGAATAGATGAATTGCAGAACAGAATCCTGGAGGTATTGAGGCAGGAGCCCTATATGGGGGAGAAAATACCTGTCAGGTAAACCAAAATATCTTTTTACCTAGCAAACCTCATTTCATGGACTTTGGGATTAATATTGTATTTAAACCATCATGAATAGTTCTTTGAAGAGCAGTCAGTGTTTTCAGCATAACTGTATATGTATGTAAATGTATGTGAAAACAAAAATAACTCACCTCCACTAGTTTGAAGTTATTGAAACCCTTAAAAACATCAGACTGTACAAATACACAGCAGTTATTTATGTGCAAACAAACAGAACTCTAATTCATGACATTGTGACAATACTATTTCTTTAAAAAGGTGTGAATGTCTGATGGATATTTGAGAAGGCACAGCTCTTTGAATGGAGAATGTTTGTGTGAAAAACATAACCATGTTTGAATTTTCCTAAAGTTTGGAGATAGCTAGACCAAGAAAATAGATGAATTAACACTGGAAGACTACAAATTAATACATGTCTGACTGAAGTTAATATCCAATTTAAAACCCTAATACATTTTAATTATTCTGTTGCCTTCTAGATGGTTTTTGTTTGAAAAGGTGATTGAAGCTTTGCTGGTCAAACAGATTTATTACAGAAATCTGCAACAACTTGAGCACTATGCTAGGAAAGATTGTTTCATGAAAGATGCAAAAGAGTTTGAGGCCATGATCAGTTTTTATCATGGCCTTGGGATGATAATCAAGCACCGCAGTACAGTTGTACTTAAGGCTCAGTGGTTGATTGATCTGTTCAAACAGCTGATAACCATTCCACCTTTCAATGAACAGGTGAGAAAAAAAATTTCATTTTTGGAAAGCCTTACCTGCAAAATGGTCATTCATTTAGATCATTAGAAAATGAGCGTGACATTTTTTTAAATAAATAGGCAACTAATTCAACAGCTGTGATGCTTTGATCTTTACAACTGCTGAACCCAAGTTATTTTGTGTACATTTTGCAGCTTTTCAGGTCATAAATTGATTTAGCCTTTTTACTTTACAACAGACTTGCATTGACTTGCTACCATTCACAATCATTGTATTCATACAAGTGAATAGTTCTTTTTGCATGTGCTAATTGGCTTCTGCAGTAGTGAATAACAACTAATAGTCACCTCTGAGCAGCCCAAGATACAAAATTGCACGTTAAGAGTGTAATTTCTGACCATTTTGGTACACTGATTGAAATAAACTTTTCTAGTTTCTGTACATATACGTGGCGAACATTCAAAAGGAACATTTAGTGGACTTCTCTAATCTGGAATTGCTGTCATTTACATATTTTGTAGACTCCTTTATATGCTAAGTACTGGCAGGAACTTGAAGCAAGTGGCATCCTTAGCATGGAACATGTTGATCATGTGTTCTCCAGCTTTATCACGGGAGGAATCGTTAAGGCAGACATCCTTGATATGATGGAGCGATTTGGTTTGATCGCTAAGTTCTCAGCTTCCCCAACTGACGAGAAGTACTTTGTACCAGCTCAGTTGAAGTCATCGCCTGTAGAACTTTGTAAAATGGAATTATCATTAACTGACCCTTGTCCATTGTATCTCCTCTTTGTCCATGGCTTTGTCCCTCATGGTCTTTTCTTGCAGCTTGTCTCCCGATGTATTCGTTGGTGTTCAGAGACATGGGCCACGCATCAACCCACCCTGTACCAAAATGGAGCATGGTTTATTATTGGGAAAGATATTCATGATTTTGTCCTCATATGCAAAACAGGATTTGTGAAGGTAACCTTGAGACAAAGAGAAGCACAAAGTGATCAGGTTGAAGGACAGAACTCCATCGAACTAGCAACTCTTGTTCGTGAATTTCTTGAAGACACCCTAAAGAATTTGTCACAAGAAATGCCATACCTGAGAGGAATGAAGTATAGGCTGTGTGTTGCATGTCCTTACTGTCATCAAGGGGCAGAAGAAACACGTCGTGCATGCTCAGACCAAGTGAAAACCACTTGTACACACAAGGACTGCTTCCACCTCATTGATGCAAACGAAGGTCAGCCGGACATCTGTAAGCGAAAACCTTGCAATAAGGTAGCACCAGTTTGTGGATTAAAGAAATGGTTCTTGAAAAGAAGAAGCCAGGTATGATTGATTATAGTGATTTTTCACGAAAAGATTTCTGGCCTCAGTTTCATCTTTGCTTTGCTCCCCTAATTTACTTGATGTGAATATCAATTGGACTGTTATCAGTGGTGAGAAAGGGAGCCTTGATAGGTTATCTTCAGTTTTAAATACAAGTCAGAGAATTTCTAACGAGATGAAATTATTTTTGAATTTTATACTCTTTTGTTTTTTCATGGTAAAGTGTTTATCAATAAAAATTTTATATGACCACACCCCAAGTTTTTTGTAAATGTAATTGTCATAATCCTATATAACCTTTTTTTCTTCAGGGTTTGTCCTCTTCAAATGTAGCTGCCAGATCACATGATGAAGCAAGTAAAATCAATCCAAAGAAGTCTACCACAGCATTGAAGGTAACTCTCCTTGGCAGTGAGTGGAGTTCGTCAATGGGAGGCTTGTCCACCATCAACAGACAGCTTGCTATTCTGTTGGCCAAACACCCTGAACTGGACGTCACTCTCCTTGTCCCACAGTCTGCCTGTTCTGAAGAAGAGAAGAGGATGGCATCAAGTCACAATGTTTCCATCCAGGAAGCCGAGAAACTTGCAGGCTTCAGTGATCCTCTTGAATGGTTGAGTTTCCCACCAAGAGACCTCGTCATTGACTTTGTGCTGGGTCATGGTGGAAAGCTTGGTAAGCAAGCCCAAGTTATCAGAAAGTCTCACAGATGCAAGTGGATTCAGGTGGTGCACACTGCACCCGAAGAACTAGGAATGTACAAAAACTATCCCATGGCCATTTCCAAAGGTGATGGTAAGAGTACAACTGAAGTGGAGTTGTGTCAGTTAGCAGATGCTGTGGTAGCAGTTGGACCAAAGTTGACGAAGGCTTACTCTTCTCACCTGCGCTCATGCGAGAAGCACCAAGATATAATTCAACTGACGCCAAGCACGTTCAAAGAGTTTTCCGACGTAAAACAAGCTGCAGTTGACGTGGACATCTTTAAGGTTCTAACGTTTGGCCGGGGTGACCCAGAGGACTTCAGCTTGAAGGGCTACGATATCTCTGCCAGAGCAATAGTTGAACTGAAAGACAGGTCGTACCATCTGATTTTCGTGGGTGCACCTGACGGTAAACAGGATGAGGTTGCAAAGAATCTACTCAAGAGTGGAATTGATAAAAAGCAGCTGATCGTGAGGAAGTTCGTGCAAAAAAAAGAGGGATTGAAAAAATTATTTTGTGAAGTTGACATCTGCATCATGCCCTCCAGAACAGAGGGGTTTGGTTTGACGGCCTTAGAAGCGTTGTCTGCTGGTCTTCCCATTCTTGTCAGTGGAAACTCAGGATTTGGTGAAGCACTGTACACTGTACCATCAGGCAAATCATTCGTGGTGGAGTCTGAGGACCCTGAGGAGTGGGCAAAGGCAATTGCTGCTGTCCGACTGAAGGAAAGATCAGATCGACTTCAAGACATTCAACTTCTAAGGAGTTCCTATGAAGAGAAGTTTAGCTGGGAGAAGCAGTGTGACAGTCTTGTGGAGAAGATGTGGGACATAGTTCATGGTCAGAATGTTTTGAATTTTCTTCAAAAAGTATTTTAGGGGGCTACTCGGCTTTCGGTCTCTTATTAACTGTGATGGAAAGCATGAACCCTTCATATAAAAAGAGATGTTGAACATGAGTAGTAATCAATCGTTTTATCCTCATACTGTTTACTGTGTTATTAAAATAAAAGCTTCTTTCCATCTTTTTAGCTTCTAAAAGACGAGACACAAGTTTCAGAGCTCAGCAGGTCGACGTTATTGACACGTCAACCAATCAACGAACAGTTGAATCATTACTGACTCCAAGTGAGTAAAAGTAAAAACTTAGCACGATGCTGTTTACTTCTGAGACATGTTTTTACTTATACCCCTGCATTCTTGAGTCACAAACGTAAGACGTGTACAAACAAATTTGATTTTCTTTTACCTCCTGATCCGGACGGACGGCTTAGTGTTATTTATTTCTTTGACTCATTTGAAGTCTTCATCCAATTGGAAACTACCAGAAATTGTCTGAAACCAGGCCAGAAACAAGGAGACATGGGAAGCTCTTACTGTTCTTATCAAAATCAGTTTATGTTCTATTCTCGATACGTTGTCTTGTCGATACGTTGTGTTGAAGTAATCACATATTCATACGGTAGAGGGAATACATCAGTGTATTTTTCAAGCCCGTTCTTTTTTTCCAGGATTTATTTTTCTAGTTACACAGATATGTCAGAGTGTAGACCTCGTCGTTAATTTTTCTTCTCTGCTTCTTCTCTCTTGATTATTTGTGTATTCATTCACGGGCAGAAATCGAACTTAAACAGTAACGAAATTGACAGCTACAGCTTCCTTCTTAAGGCTGAGTTGTTGGACAAAACAGCGGAAGTCTGGTGGTCTTCTCCTTTTTACCCTAAAAGTTTCTGTCACTAGATTGAGAATTGTTAATTTCCAGCAGACGATTCTTTCGCTTTTTAACTGCAGTTAGATTAATAAAAACCTTGTGTTTTCTAGGTTCTCTTGACCGAATCATCCAGGAACTTCAGCAGATGCAACTGGATGCAAGCAAAATCAAGAGCAGAACAGATCTATCATTGGGGCTTCAGAATATTGCATCAGACAGGGGCTTCAGAATATCTGATAATCAGGGATCAGGAAATTGCATGTTCTATGCCTTGTCCGAACAACTGGAAATTGTTAAGGGAATCAAAATCCCACATGGAAAATTAAGACAAACCTTGGTTCAGTACCTCAGGAGTAACCCAAAACTTGTAAGTTGATGTTAGTATGTTTAACAGAGTATGTCACGTGATGTTATTGTTTAAGTATGATAAAGGCTAAGTGATAATACAGGCCACTTGGCCAACACCACCAGAACCTATCCCAGTGTTCACAGCGTGAAGTGACTAGGAGTATTGTTAGTCCTTCTGCATGGAAAAATGGTCTTTTTTTCAAGAGCTCTGAAACCAGCTTGTGACCCTGGTGGAAAGAAGAACTTGAGATATTTAACTGCATTATTTAAGAAGCCACACAGTGACGTTGGTGACAATTAAATTCATATGTTACTTAATGTGGTGTCCGGAGAAGCAGGCCACCACGGTTTTTAGTCATTTTAATATTTCCGTTTCAGAAGAATTTCCTTTAAACCTCCATTAGATGACAGAATTATGGTCATTCTCTTAATGATGGCTCTGTCTTGTTGTTTTCCTGCTGTTTGCAAAGCAGAAAATTTGTTACTATACAGTACATTGCCAATTAAAGGTCGTCTCGTACCATTCTGATAAAATTACTCCCTGACTCGTACTCCACGCGCTCAAGTTCCCATCAACAATCCTTTTAAGTTTCCTTCTTTAACTGATCTTTCTTACAGCCGGATGGAACAGATCTGTTTGACTTTGTCCATGGACATCAAACATGGACTGAATACCTAGTACACATGGAACAAGATGGCGCTTGGGGTGATCACGTGATTCTGTGTGCTGCAGCAAACTGCTTTGAAACGTGCATTCGTGTGGTCAGCAGTCTATCCCATAGCCATGATGTAATCATTACGCCACATTTTTCAGTTGACGAAAGCAAACCTCTTGTGCTGGGACATATTCATGAGGTGCACTATGTCAGCCTTCAACCCGTGAAAGGTACAGCTCATTACTTTACTCCAATTAACTGAAATTTTAGTTTTACAGTGATATTTGTGAGAGGGGCAGGTGGGCAGTCGCCCATATACTGATATTGATCCATATTTGTCAGTTAGAATCCTTAATATTCTTTTTAATGTCGAGTTGACAACAGTCACCCTGTTTGTTGTTCGATCTAGTGCTTTTCTCCTTTAACACACATCATGAAGTTTATGGTTTTCATATTTCATTCTTCATCGCTGGCTCCCATCTCAATAATCAAACGCAATTCATGCACTCTATTGTTCTTCCTTGTCGTTTAACCACAGTGTTCTGATTATTGTGTTTGCAGGTTAGAGTGGCAGGCCCCCTACAGTCACTTTGATCGGCCCTTGTAAAGAGCCCGGCCTTACAGAGTGACTTCATAGGCATAGAGACTATTGATACAAATTGGAGAACTAGAGCTTTCTTCTGTCGATTTTTCCAATGTGAACTTTAAAATCCTAGATTTAATTAGAATTTCCAACAATTTTTTCAACAGAATAAGAACAATAATAAGGCCCTGTAATTAAAATTTTATTTCTTGTAACAAATGGCTGATATATTGAAGAAAAGTAAAATGGTTTCCGTGTTTACATATCCTGATGTAAACACGCGGGAGGTTGGGAGAACACGAGATAAGCGTAGGAAACCACGACGCGAATCTTCAGAGTCTCGGTTTGCCCTATATCTGAGCTTATTTGAGTTGTTCTCTCAAAAGAGTTGGTCTCAGCGATTGAAAAAAACCTCGCAACACCCTCCAGTCATCAAAACTAACTACTGATCTCGCACTCCGTTCAACACGCATAGAAAACGTACATGTCAAGAGGATTGACTTCAATTCCTGCACTCTATCTGAAACGATCAAATGAAATTACGAACGTCTACACAATGTGAAACACACTTACCTGCGTTAGACATGATTAACAGCTGATCAGAGAGAGGTAAAAGCGATAGATTTATGAAGACAAGGAACCTGCGGAAATATTACCTCTTCATCAACATAACACACCTTGCTTCCTTGGGTTCACGACACGCTTAGTTTGTTCTGAAAATGTTTTACATGCAAGCATACCGAGCTCCCGAGCCAAATTTTTCACGAGTACGTCTCTTTCCCAAGGTTTTGACAATAGTTTAAGCGCTCTGATGTTTCTCACCGAAATTTTTGAGAAAACGAAAGGTACCGACCTCGCGCTCGAATGTTTAGCCAACATCCTGAGCCCTTACGCTATCTTCAGACTCGATGAAGATTGATCTTGCTTCGCTTTTGGTATTTATTAGAATTACATACCACTGTATACACGATGATTGATATACTGAAGCAGGTTGTTCGGGGCATCTCTGCTATTGAGGGTACTGCAAACAACGACTGTCATCAAAATATCTTCTAAACTGCTGCACTTAGTCTAACCTGGAACACAGAGGTAAGGATTCAACCGATCGAATTTCTTGGGAAAATTCACCCACAGCGAAAGTTCCCCTTTTTTTTCGGCTGAGGCGTAAAACTAAATGATTTATAGATAGCTGTAGAGCACTTTTACAAACGAGGAATTCAACAAGTCGAGAAGCGAAAGACGAATGATCTTTGGATATGTAATCGTGACATTCGCTTAATTAAAATAATCACGTTCTCGACAACAGAAATCAAATTTCCTTACTGTCACGCGATCACGTGCTGAAATCTTTGCTTTACTTTACAGTTACATTCCTCTGATTCCTATATCTGTTCAGAAGGTATATTTGATTCCTTGTGTTTGACTTGGTGAGATCGTTGTCATTTTCATGATTGTCCGAAGATAAGTTAAACGAACAAATTTTCCTCAAAAAGGAAACCTGTTTGAGACTCTCAGTCAGTGGATTAGATTCAAGCGAAGGACCGGGCGAGTTCAAGTCGATGGTCACGATTTTCTGATTCCACAGCAGCTCTTTCGCTCATTTCCATTAACCGAGAGCGTAACAAAAATTAAGGCCAACATCAGCCCCGCTACCCAAACAAGTAAAGCGAGAGGAAGGCTTATACCCGGGGGGTGGGGTTAGGGGGGGGGGGAGTGGGCTTCTAATTGTTTGTTTTCCTTGTTGCCGTTTTGTTCAAAGGTAGATGGGCCTTTAACAGTTCAATTAAAAGTTCGATAACAAGACACCAAACGATAAAATTTGACTTTTTCATGATCATATACCCTGTAATCTCATGGGTTACACTACCCAGCACACTGGCTTCTATTTCAGTTTTAAGATAAAATCTCACTTTTTAAAATCTGGAAGTGTACAAAGGAAATGACATTACCATATGTGGGGTGACTAAAAATGGAATCATAGAATGGTCACCAATTTAAAATAAGCTTTTTCCTCAGTATGAGTAAGTCTAACACAGTTTACATTAGCCATAATTTGCTTTTAATTCATCAACTCTACCATGATGTTAGCTTTTCCAAGAACCTGAAAAAACAACAAATTAAAAAGCCATAATAATCACAGCATTCAAAATGGGCACAGGGACTTCCATTACAATCTTTTTAAGTTTCCACAAGCCTAAATGTCTCCTCACAACATTTTTTATCCCAGACAATAAGTGAGTGACGTCTTCTGTGACGTCTTCTGTTTCTAGACTTTGCTGTAACAGGTGCAGTTGCTCTGACTCTCTTTTCAAGTCTCTACACTTTGGCTTTCTTTGCCTGCAACAAAAGTACATCATCAAACAAGAGGGTAAACTTCAGAGATACAAAAATTAAGTACATGATAAATCTTTTAATGATAAGAATCCCTGTTTTACTAACACCTTGTCCCAGAGTAAACAAAAAGACCAGGCACTCCAGGTTTTCTAGTGTTTGAACATTAACTTTCTCTAATCCTTTAACCCCAAATAGTGATAAGGAACTAATTTCTCCTTACAATATCATTGCTAAATTAAACATTAAGGTCATGAGAATAGGGGAAATGATCACTAACAAAAAAAAAGCTCTTGATTGTTGAGCAAATTCTCCTTGTCAGAACACAGAGAAAAGTATGGAGAATATGCATATATATTGATGTTAGAGTGTAAAGGGTTAAAAACAGACAATAGGGAATGCATGTGTATAGATTAAGGATTCTAGAATATCATTGTGCTTCTACGATTTCCTTGGATGACAGAGTGTTCTTGAAGGAATTGGCACATGTGAGCACAGGGGAGCAGATGGGAAATGTATGTAACAGTATAACAGTTACATGAGCATCATCTTCCAAATATGATGAATTTAATTTTTTTTTCTATCAATCAATTCTGTGAATCTAATTTAATCACACATGTATTTGTGAGGGAAATCTCATGAGCTCAAGTACATCTCTTAATTCAAAGGCATCAGTGATGTTTACAAAGCTTTGGTAAATAAACTAGCAATTGGAGTGCCTTTTGGTAAAACTCTCAAAACATCTAATGAGTAACCATAATTTATGAAATGTAAGAGCTGTTTAATATGTTTTTATGTATGATATGTTCTAAACAAAACCTCATACAAATACTGCTCTTTGTACATGCCTGGTGCACATTTCTCAAAACATTTTCAGCCAGTTGGAAAATGCCTTAAGATAATTATATTCATTGTCTAATTTGTTCATTCATTAGAATGCAGAGGAGGATGAACACATCAAATTTTAATGTTTTCTTTTAACTACTAGAAAGTTTATTTTTGTTTAGTTATCTTTAACTCTTTAACTCCCAAAAGTGATTGACATGTAACTTCTCACTATAAAATCCATTCATCATCTAGCAAAGAGGTAAGGAGAATACTTAAACTTATCAGGTAGAGGTTGTTTTCTTGATTTAACACCAAATTCTTGTAACTTATTTAAAAGGAAATGTGTAGCAGCTAGAGGGGAGAATTAACAATCAGATCTTGGAAGTGAAAGGGTTAAAAGCTTTAATTTCAAGCCAGTGTGTAGTATGGAAATCCTGTATTGCACTTAATAAGTTATTTTTCAATTCATTCACAATAGACTAATCAGGAATGAAACATTTTGTTGCAGTATATAATGATTATTATTATATTATTTTAGGTAGTTAGTATTTGAATTTAAGTACAAAAAAGCACAGCAGTCTTATGTCTGAGTGACTTGCTGTAGTCTCTTATTTATCTTCAGTCCCTAATTTTTGCTGATGACTGTTAATTAAAATCAGGAGGAAAATAATAAAAAAGGACACCAACAATTTGAGAATGAAAAGTTAAACCCCATCCCTCTCTCACTGTAGGACAGTACCCACTGATAAAAGGATGAACCTGATTCATTCTGATTAAAGCTGACTAATTGGAGAGTATAAGAGTTAGTTTGAGAGTACATGTTTAAGTATGTAAATACTACAAATTCTTTTGCAGTTGGTTAAAATCACAATGTTATACCTCCCAACTCAAAAGCCATTTTTCATTTGACCCTAATTGTTCCCTTTGGCTTCAGTTCAAGGAACATTTAAGAGTCTTGGGAAAAGAAAACTCACTGTATCCCTTGGAGCCAGTCATTAACTGCTTATGTTTAACAAAGTTTGAACTGAAACAAACTCTGAATACTGAAAAGTATGAAAAAGAATGTGTTGCATGAGAAAGCCAAGACTCTCACCTCACTCTCTGAAAGGACACTTTTGTGCCCCCATTTGACTATCTTGTCATGATAATTGAGTTTGTGATTTAAAACTAACATGATATCCAAGCTGATTAAACACAGAAGAAAAGAGAACCTGATCAGTCTACCAGAAAACTTACTGCTTGTCTTATACAGGCTTTAAGTGTTTGAAACTCCTTATTACAGGTATGGTTGGTAATGTTGTCTGTCTGGGACACACATCTTCTATAAAGAAGGACCTGAAAGAAAAACATAACCATTAGGAAAATAATTAATACATCTAAAACAACTTGATGAGAACTTTTTGGCTAAGCATTAAAACAAATTCAGGCATAATCTCAACAATACTTGAGACAAACTGTGTAAGGTTTTCAGTTGAGTTAATCAACTCTTTGACGTTGGAAGTAAAAGGGTCAAGATTTCAGGTAGTTGGTTTAGAGGAGACAATTTGGTAGAGATTTGAACACTGTAAAGATTGTTTTACTCATCATACACAGTGCTGTTTATAAATTTAATTGAGCCCAGAAGCAATCTGACATTTCTAAGCTTTTCCATGACCTTGGTCTGTGATTGGCTAATATATTAACACTATCTAATCAACCAATCAGAGACAAAAACAGCAATTTGGTTTCTTGTATTTTGCAATGGCCTAAGTTAGTTTCTGTCTTTGTTTCTCTCTGTTTTTTCTTTCTTCTTTTTTCATATTTTATGAACTCTTAATTACAACACCACACATTATAATTACAATATTTCAGCTACCATACTTTTACCATAAATTACTCATGATCAGTAAATGCCATTATAATCCAACATATATATTTGCTAAACCCATCACATGACAGAATATCCCCTAGCTAACATTGGGGATGTCCAAGGATATACCTCAAGCAAGCAATATTCCCCACTTTTCAAACCTTACATCCAATATCATAATGGAAAACTTTGTGTTAAGGATTTAATTCAGGATGAAAAGCATTGTGTGGTTGTTATAAAAGAGGGAACATGTTACTTTTGTTCATAAAATCATTTTAGAGAAAACTGAAAAGTAAACCTCCCACACCACAAACAGTAAGCTGTTCATAAACATTTTTGCCAAAACACGCCCTTTAACCCTTTATCTCCCATGAGTGACCAAGAGAGAATTTCTCCTTACAATGTCATTACAATATCAAGCAGACAAGTGATGAGAATGAAGAAAAATATGAATTAGGGGATTATTAGTTGATCCACTAACAAATTCTCCAAATTAACATCACAAGAACTATATGGCAGAAAGGAAGGAGAATTACTAAAGAGATCTTGGGAATTTAAGGGTTAATATCCTTCCAAACAAAACAAAAAAAAAAAGTGAATAATCAAAGCGGTTGCTAAAACAAAATTACAAATAAAATAAAGGAGAACAAAAGACACAAACAAATGTTGCAAGAGATCCTGGTTAAAGACAATTGAGAACCATTTCAAGAGGTTCAGAAAAATAATCCAGCAAAGTTAACCATAAATCAGAATGAATAAAATTTACAGTAAGGAACTTATATGAATGATACAAACATAGGTAAATTGAGCAAAAAAAAGTAATAGAAAAGCTAAAACAGTAACAGACTTGAAAACAAAAGAACTTAATGAAAATGCAATGGAAAGAAAATGTAAACGAATTCAAAATAAATTATGCCAATGTGCTTTTTTGGCAGCAACAGTGCTTTTCATTTATTTCTTATAACTTCCTTCTTTTCTTTAAGTAAGTCATATTAGGGGCCAAAATTGTACCCTTTGCCAAATTTGAAACTCAGAAGAAAACACTTATTAAACAGTTAAGTTGCTCTCTGTCATCCTAAAGTGCAATGGCAAAGAAATATTCCCAGAGATCACACCACTGTTGTGCTTTAATGGCTAACATGTGGCTGATCTTTAACTATACTTTTATCAAACCTTTATTGAGCTATCATCAAAAAGAAATGTGTCTTTCATTAAAATTTTATTTATTTCCTTTCAGTGGTGAACCAAAGAAACCATTCTACGCCTAGTTAATCTAATCATAGGTTGCATTATGCTGGAAGGTAAATCGAAACAAAACAAAGCAAAGCAAGAAAAAAATTAATAGCAGGAGAAACCTGAAGATAAGTTTGTCCTGAAAAATTCATTTTGAACAGCAACTACAAGTAATCGTTATTTTGCCGCGAGAAAAATATATGTAACTCCTTAGCATTATGTAAGCTTAATTAAAAATAGACAAACCAAACCTCACTTAATTAAAAATAAACAAAATAAACCTCACCTAATTAAAAATAAACAAACCAAACCTCACGTGCCTTCGATATAATTTTTATATTCTGGGTTTCAAATAACTTTCCTATTAAATAATTTGTCACGGTGAATAAGATTAATACGAGCAATGCTCAGCGAAAAGAAATGTGAGTATAAACTGGAACAGCCCCAAGCTACAACCCCTAGCAGCTACATGTACTGGCATTTCTTAACCAAGTCTTATACAATCTTGAACCTGACTTTGTAAAAACGTACTTACTTGTGTTAACTACACGTACTACTTACGCGTAGCGAACAAAGTGTATCGAGTAAAATCTCACCTCTGTTTTGCAATCTGCAAGAGGCTTCGAAAGCCCGAGATTCTCGTGAAATCTTTTCCCCTTGGGCTCATTATTTCAGGTAAATTTCCATTTAGCGTTGCCCGCCATCTTTTAAATTGTGCAGTGTATCCTGGGTGGTTGGCTCAAGTAAGCGGAAATGAACTGGCTAAAACCGGAAGTTCGGAATCACTCGTCTTCATGATACTTACTAGCAGACAAACAAACAGACAAACCATATAGCTTTCTGAAACACTTACACAAAATTCTATGAGACAAATTATACGAAACTTAAGAAAGAAAAATCTTATAAATGGTTAATTTTTTAAAGTTTTGTCAGTTGTCAATTAGCTGCGAAATTTATTCTTCTCTCAGCGGGATTTGTCCTTAGGCAAAACCGAAACAAAACTGAAAGAACGTTGTGGCAGATGAAAAACTATTTCTAAAGGGATGGTCCATCGAATAATTGCCACGATTACAGTTAACTTGGTGTGCGGCACAAAACTTTTCAACCTAACTTTGTTTACCCGCCTGTTGAATTTATGAACGCTCGTCACGACGTTGGAATCTGATGTCACTAAGCTGGTCTTGGCCTTCTCGCGCAAACTCCGCCCTTCCTCCTATTTCTGGAAATAACACTTTCTTGCCGTGGCCATATCTTTGCAACGATCTCAATTATTTTTGTAGCCAACCCTATTATCTTTGTACTTCGGCTTGTCGGAGCCATTGTCTAAGATATTGGCCTTTAAATTATACAGGTTTTTTTATTCGTTTTTGTATAAAGGCTTTGCCATTGGATGTTGACATAAAGGTACCTTACGTTTTTCATGTCAGTGTAAGTGAGTATATCCTCTCCAGATCTGATAGAATAAAGCCGTTCACCGCCTGTCCACCTTCATTTGTTTGAAAATTCTCTACAAGTCTCAGCTGGAAGCTCCAGGATAAACCGAGAGGCACTGGAAATCAACAGACTGCTTGTTCACGTAGTTTCTTCAAACACGAACTAGTTGGACTCTTTGTTTCTGCCAGTCTCTCCGATGAAGGGGGCTTGGCAGTCGGAGTAATTGATCTCACTGCTCCCCGTCTGTTCTTCGGTTCGTCCTTGTCTTTGACGTTTGTTGGTAACTGACGTAATGTAGTGATGGGTTTGTGGACGACGTGGATATTGAAGGGTTGTAGGATGCGCGAGATGTCATCAGACATGCTCTTTATGTATGGTATAGTCGCTGTAAGTGTAGGAGTTGCGGTGTCGTTTATTTCGGTAGTTCTGGTAAGTTGGGAATTGTTTCGTCGGTTGAAGTCGTCGTTAAAGTTGTTTTTGAAAAGGCACGGTCAAGGTATTTGTTTTCGTTGGAGAAGCTGTTTGTGTTGTCGCATACTAGTTGGGCTTGTCTCGTTAGAGTCCTGATAGTGGTGGCTTTGTGTGATATCGGGTCGTAAGATGATTTGTTTGGTAATCAGTCAGTGTGTGTCAGTTTCCTGTAAACTGATGTCCGTAGTGAGTTGTCGTCACGGGTCACCAGGCAATCTAGAAAAGGAAGTTTACCATTTTCTTGACTTCTCTGGTTAACTGTATGTCTGTGTTTTGTTCGTTAAGGTGTTGGTGGAGTGCGTCGATACAAAGTGCACCTGGTATCCTAGTGCGACGATCGTACAAAGTACGACGGAACAAACCAAAGGCTTTACACATTCCTTGATGCATTCACATTTTTTCTCTTCCACATTTAATTGACTAATCATGTGGTTACACCAACTGGGGTATTTTGTTAAAGCTTTCTCTTCAACAGTTATGTGCGTTTAAACTGTTTCAAATATCATCCGAGGTCTATTTTTGGATTTAAGACAAACACATTGTCTTTATAAAGTAACCACTTAGCCTACAAGTTTATCTTCAATTCGTAACACCTGCAGTGGCATTCATCTTCCTCGTTTATCAACACTTATAAAAAAAGAAATACATTTACCCAGATTTTCATATCCAGCACAGATATAACAGTGTTAAAGTAAACGATACAGACAGTACTCCAAGACTTCCCAGACCAAAGTAATATAATCAGCACAGATATAACAGTGTTAAAGTAAACGATACAGACAGTACTCCAAGACTTCCCAGACCAAAGTAATATAATCAGCACAGATATAACAGTGTTAAAGTAAACGATACAGACAGTACTCCAAGACTTCCCAGACCAAAGTAATATAATCAGCACAGATATAACAGTGTTAAAGTAAACGATACAGACAGTACTCCAAGACTTCCCAGACCAAAGTAATATAATCAGCACAGATATAACAGTGTTAAAGTAAACGATACAGACAGTACTCCAAGACTTCCCAGACCAAAGTAATATAATCGTTGACTCTAATCTTACTATATTCTTTATTCCTTTATACTTTTATTTGACAAATAGTTCCCATCTTCCGCAATTAAGTTTTTGCAAAAGCTTTTATACTGAAGTACATTCTTACCATTTTTGAATTCGTCTGTCTGTTGGACGTGGATTTTTTATCGCACAAAAATGGGCACCGTGATATCGCTAATTTGGATGCAAAACGGTCACTTACCCCAATTGTCACTCATTTTTCCCTTTTTGTCTCTGAAACTTTGTAGACGTCTTTGTATAAAAAGAATTCTTAAACTGTTCGCCAATAAAAGAAAATAACCCATCAGGTTTTCTTCAACTTTTACTTGAAAGCTTACATCTGGTAAAAGTAAAAGAGGGTTTTTTCATCAATAAATTATTCATTGTATGATTCAGATCAGCAACAAAATTATGTTAACATCATGGGACACATACTGAAAAGTCACTGCTGAGGGCCAGTGACGTCATCCAACGTAGAGGTGTTTTTCCATTTTGTCACGATACTTTTTGGCTTGTCAATCAAACAACAGCTTTTGAACTTGACAAGAAAACAGAAAATAAGACTTAGAAAATTTATAATAGGTATACTGTACTTCCCTTTCCAACATGAAATTTTCATTTTTTTTTGGTAGCTCATATTAATCCTTAAATCACATCTCACTTGTCAATAAATTTCTGCTATATCTTTAAGTTGATTTTCACGTTTCAGAGATAAACAAACGGTTACTGAAGTGAACAATCGCCAGATAAAATCTTCCTGATAAGATAAAATAACAAAAAAATCCGAAGGAGGGGGGTTGTATCGACCGCCTCCCCTCCCCCCTGTTTGTCCGAGGCGTAAAGTTAAAGGAAAGGAAACAAAGAAACCAATAACATCTTGAATTAGCCGTTAATTTGACATCTCAGTACAAAGAAAATTTTATTCAAGGTTTCACTTTTATTTACTCGTACTATGGTAGTGTATTTTAGTTTGCTCAGTGATCGACCTACTGACAAAGCGACTCGACGCTGTGAAGGAAGAGCTTGCAGAACTGAAAAAGCCATCGCCATCACCTACTCCAGTGGCTCCAAGTACATCACTGATATACTCCAACGAATCCTCAAAGGACTTCGGCGAGTCCTCATCTGAAGGTCGCAAATGAATCGAAGCCTCGGGAATCGAATTTTGTTATAAGTCGAGCCCATATCCTTTTTCTCGTGGATTTCGGTCATACATTCACTTTAGCTTTGTCCTCTTTTGTTTTATTTTTATCTAGTTTTCGTCTTCTTGTTTTTTCCTAGTTTTCGTTCTTTTTAGTTTGTTTTTTCTAAATTTTTTTTTAGTTTTGGTCCTTGATTTTTGTTTGTTCCTCGTTTGTTTGTTTGTTTTTTAATTTCCTTTGTCTACCATTTACTGGTAGTTATTTCAAAGTCTTTAAACACTACCTTCACGTTAACTCCGAGCAAATTTGCTCCTCTTCAGATTATTATCTATGAAGCATGAACTGCAATTGCTTTCGTCTTCCGTGAATTAAATTTGAGCGTTGTTGGTTCTTTGTCTTTCTTTGTCAATCAACACTCATCTCCTTCCCCTACACTAAAATCATTTATGAGTTACACACCAACACAGAGGCACCTGCTTTCCTTACCAACAAAATGATGCTCAATTAATGCTGGACAACTTTCCCTTTCTTTGCAGCTCCTTTTCCTCCACTTAGGCATAATTGGTATGGGTCAAGACCGCTGACAAACATGTATATTTTTGTGATAGTGCTGAAGAATTTTTCCTTTCGTCACGAACTTGCACAAGCCTGGTTGTGAAACCATAACATCATCTTGAATAAATTGAACAGCGGCGCGGTTCGCTGATCTGTCTCAGTGAAAACAAGTAGATAATGCAAGCTTAAAAGTTTCGCCACAGACCGTTTTTAATTGGAGGTCAAAATACTCTGTGAACACCTTATTTTATCACTTCCTTTTTCTCACAGCAATACCAGTTTGAACTGATTGCGCTTCCATTGTGTGGAAATTTGTGCTGGTCGGTGCTAAGAGATAATCGTCTGCTTAAAAGAGATCCAACTGATGAGTGTTTACCACAACATATCGGAGATTTTTAATTGTCGTCATTTTGGCAAGCATCCACAGTTACTATGGATTCACGACCGAGCTGGAGGCATGCCCAAACGTTATTAAGCTTTGTCTCTTTTCTTAATTTCTCAAATCAGAGTGTGCGGACTACAAAGTTCTGGACAGTGCTGACAGAAACATTAATTACGGAGCAGGGTGGGAATGTGACGACGATATCGTCCGAGGATGGTACCGTTTCACCGGAGCAGAGATGGCTTCCAGATCGGGTTAACTCAAAGTTCGGCCTGGTTAAATGGCGAAGATCCATCTGTTGCCGACGGAATGGTGATTAGTAGCTCTACTAATACTTAATTTATTGATTCTTGGGCTTTCCTTTTTTTATAGCGAGTTCACAAAAACAAAAGATGTTTCTATTTTTCCGTAAGAAAAGAAAGTCACTGTTTCTGCAGAATAATAAAAAAAATCAAAAAAGCCATTTTCTTTGCTTAAACACAACAAAAGAGCGGTAGGGATATGTGTGCGCTACATAGAAAAAAATCGAACTTTCGGTTAAATCGATAACTTTCCTTTCACAGATATATTTGGACGAACTCGCTGACGAAGCTATAAAGTTCCTATTCGTGGAATGGGAAAGCTGTGACAATGATATAGTTATGGGTAAAGCAGTACGTGGGGACAAGGCGTCAAACACAGTTTTTTTCGAAAAAATGGAATGAGCTGCTTCCAAAATTGAGACATCCAGTGTGGGGAAGATTCAAATATCATATCAAATGAAGAGATTTGTGGAAACAACTCCTCGAACGATAAGATATGATGACGTCCCATGCCTAGCGATGGTACTTCACTTGCAATAAAGCAGGAAATTAATATCAGGAGATTATTGAGGAGCTTGCATGCACTCTTCTGGCGTCCTGATGAGTTCCTCACTCGTTTTTGACAAAAAATATGCGAAGAGGATCACCCGCAAACAACTCACGGGATTCTCATTATATCTAAACAGCTCTAGTCAGTCCTATAAGGGGAACGAGTTGAATTGCTGTTGAATTGCTGTTGGGTTGAAATGTCCTCAGAATCTCGACATCGTTCTGTATTGAGCAAAACGAAATCTTCGGTCGAGTTCTTTTAGGTTTGCAAGTAGTTTCTTTATTGGTTATCACATTCTTCACCAATTCAAACATTTGTCAATTTTGGAGAATATTACTACGTTATGTTTCCTAATATTTGTATTATCTCTCCCTTGAAAGCTTATTTCGATTACATTACAAAGCCACTTGTTAAAATAAATAATATTTTCAGTATAGGACCTTGTTCTGTCAGAAAAATTGTCGTTACCTAAGTTTAAATATCGTTACTTGAGTAATAGATAAACAGGGTAAGAATCAGGAGACCCAAATTACTCGATTTATGCAGCACTTGGGGATGTAAGCGTCTTGTGGGCTGTTTTGACTTTTTGTGAAATGAGTAGCCTACGGATTAGACAAGAATTCAGCGTTAAACAAAGTATATCACCAGAAGGACAGCGTTTACAGCGAGAGCACGTCGACAAAGCCGTACCTTGCGTGACAAATACTGAGTAACCACATGGTTTAATTGCATAATCTGTCCTAATTTATGTGTCGTGCACTTTCGGCACGGTAACTCCATGTAAATTAGCCCTTAGTCACGTGACGTTTGGGAAACCTGAAATATTTTGAGAAGGAAAGTAACCGAATTGCGTGAATTAAGGAGTGTCTATTTCGAGCTCAGTGGTTAGATTGTCTGCAATCTGTGTTTGATTTTTGCTAATTCGTGTGATTCGTTTATTACTTTACCGAGAGGTAAGAATTATGTTCAATATAGATACGAATTTAGCTAACATGTAAAGTGTAGCCTCGCTAAAACCCGAAACAGCGAAACGAAACGACCGAAATGAAACAAGCGAAACCACCGAAAAGACGAAGACGAAATCACCGGACCAAAACACACCACTACAACATGGCAATCGAGAGAACGATCCTCCCGTGAGTTAGATCAGGAGTAGACCATAATTGAAACGTGACGAATGGCATTGATTTTATTATCATTGACTGTTTTTTTTTTCATGCTAATTTTTGGTCCGGTGATCTCGTTTCGTTTTCGTCGTTTCGGTGGTTTCACTTGTTTCGGTGGTTTCGTTTTGATGTTTCGGGTTTTATTACAAGTTTATGCCAGTTTCGCTCCGTTTCATTTTCGACTCCGTACAAAAAACCTTCTTGTAAGCACGTTCTTCAATGAACTCGATTTGAAACTGCATTTTTAAGTAAATGATAAGGTTTCTTGAGATCTTAAACCGCATGATTGAAAGATTACATGTTTTAATGACTTCAAGGTCTTCTTGAACAAAACTAGTGACGTGTGGGTACCTATTATTGCTGTCAAAGCAAACTTTGTTTTGACATAGGAAATCTACATCTTAGCCACCAAATACATGATAAGCTGATAGCTTCGTGTTATTCCTAGAAGCTTCTTTCAATAACTTAGTATGCTTTATTTAAATACTTTATTTTAAAAGTATTTATGTCTATAACCTTTAGATCTCTGGTTCAGTTCCGGTCTAGCCATCCTTTCAATGATTAAATTTCAAAGTTCACTGATTTATCAGTTTATAACCTTCGGATTTTATCGATGGTTCGCTTTATATATTTCACAGATATATATGTTTGTATTAATGTTTGAATTTATTTATTATGTATCAGTCATATGGCAGGTCAAACTTGATTTTGATGGGGGGCTAAGTTACTGGGCCAAAAATGAAATGGGGCAAAACTGGCAGATACCAATTCATGTGTGATCAATTTTTGAGATTATTCATGATGTGTGAAAAGGCCAAATATTTTTATGTGACTGAGTTTTAGAGAGGGGTATAAGGGAACCTCTGCCAATGAAAAGATAGAATTTAAATCCTTAGAAACCTCTGAGCTCAGTTCTTTGTGATTCATTCACAATCTTTCTCAGTGAGATGTATAAGTAACCACATCATACTTGTAATGTGCATTTCAAGCCAAAAAATTTTAATTCCAGTATTTGGCCAGTTGTCTCGTGTTTGCGAAAAGAACTAAAACTTTCCCTTCCATATTCAATAATTTTGATTATTATACTTAAGACTTACTATGAAAAAGCTGGTTGGTCAAGAGCATTCAATCAATATACAGTACCGCTCGAAGATAAGCGAACCACCTAACGCGTTGTCAACGCGTGGGCTCGAAGAAGTCAACGCGTTAGTGCTCTTTCGCTAACGCGTTAGCTAACGCGTTAGCTAACGCGTTGATCATCGACCCGTATCGCCTTTGTTATTAATTTTGCCACCTCCAACCTCCTTTCTTTTGTATCCATTGTTGACCAACTCAAAGGACGGCCTTCATCCGCAACTGAAAACCTTTTTGAATTTGCATAATTTTACTTGTCGGTCAAGGTTTACGTTCTGTTGCTTTTTGCCGGTTTTGAAGAAAATGTATTCTGCGACAGATATCTGAAAAAAAAAATTAAGGCAAGCTTTCGAAAACTACAGAGCAACTCTAAACAAATGAACCCAGTCGAACTGATGCGCTCTCTGCTTCTTGAGTCGAGAATCGAAAACGCTCATCGCCAGAATGTCTGGGCCACGCGAGTCGATTCTTTCTGCGACCAAAATTTCAATCACGATTTCGTCAAGGGAAACATCAGGCGGTTTTCAACAATCCGCGTTAATCAAGTCAAACAATCTCCAGTAGCCCAAGCCAAGGCAAAAGGTTTCATTATTTAAAGCCTATCGATCGAAATTCGAGTCACGAGTTTTATTCGTGAACTGCTAGCGAAAAAACATACTTATAGTTTGTCACGCTTTTGTTTACGTTCTGCCGCTTTTCGCCCGGCTTTCAGGTGACTGTATTGTGTGTGTGAGAACAAATTGAGAATTAACTTGAACGAAAAAAGTGTTCTAACGCAGACACTCGAAAAATCACAGCGAGCGACATTACAACTACAGCTGAAATGGCCCGTACAAGAAGCCTGCGATTCAACGCTCGCTCGCGAAAACAGTCAAAACACGCATCACCATAGTGCCTGGGCCACGTGCGGCCTCTTTCCAAAACAACAATTGAGTTGAGTCTCTAAGCTAAAGAGAAGGTTCACGCTTTTCAATTATTCGATTTCTCGTCGCCAGGATCCTGTAAAAAAACTCGCTGGTAACCCGAAAGATGGCCAGAGGTTTTACTCCCGAGGTTTTACTATTTTATCGGCGGACCTTTGACGAAATTTGAGCCACAAGTTTCATCATAACTGTGTTGCCTAGCGCGTGACCAAATTATTCTTTACGAGTGCAATTTGTATCTTTCAATGGTTTCTATGCGAACTTTTATTTTGCGTGTGATCGTGATTAACTAAGTTTTACTTTTTTTTTTTCCAGGGCGGGAAAAAGGCCATATTTAACACGCCCAGAATTTCACTGCTTAAATAGCGACAAGTTAGTGCTACGGTGTTTGATGAATTTCGAGAAAAATTTCGAAAAACAGTTTGGGATACAGGTGAACGAGAATTTCGAAAGTATTCACAAATTACAGGTTGTAAAATGAAATCGCTTGACTCTTAGTTCGGTTTTCAGGAACAGATCTTTGGATGACGCTTGTTATCGGGAATACACAGACGCCGTGGAGATGCTAAGGTGAATGTGACAAAAAAGTCGGCTTTGTTTGGGCCTCTTGTTATGCAAAATGGTTTTAAAGTGTGATCTACTAATGAGCTTCGCTAAACGCGTTTGCGTCTGCGTGGACACGCAAACGCAAACGCTTTAAGTTCAAAACGCCAACGCGTTGGCTCTGCGTGGGGAACGCGTTGAGTGGTTCGCTTATCTTCGAGCGGTACTGTACAGTAGTGTTTGAAGTTGACATGATAAAATGCAATATCTGAAGCTTATTCTGCATTTATCAAGATTATCATTTAGAGGTCAATGTTTGCGTAGTTACCAAGGCCTTGGTCCGTCTAGTACTCTAAGACTTTTGAAAACTCAAAGAGAAGCTCGAAATAGCTGAATACCTCTAGAATATGCATAATAAAACAATTATTTAATTTAGTTTTTGATATCATGCTCAACTTCATTCAATAATTGCTTATTACCCTAATGTCAAGACCATGGATAGACCATGGTCAATCATGGCTCTGCCATGGTTATTTACAGGACTTCCTGTTGTCCAATTCTGTTTGTAATAATACTCTTGATTAACAAATCAGACAGCTGTTATCAATTAATAAAAACTATGACAAAACTTGGGAAAGAAAGTAGACATCGGTTATACGTTTTCAAAAAAAACAACAACAACAACAGAGGCAACAACACAATCACATTTCTGTCCACTTCCACAAGCAATACATGATAATTGTCCCTTAAACTGTCCTATTACACAGTCCAATTACAAGCATGGTGCATACAATGTACTATAAGTGCTCAAATTGGGCTGATGATAACCAATCATGTTGAACAATTTTGTTATAGTTTTGATTAACAGATGAAAAGTAATATTTTCAGAAGAAAGTTTTTCTTCCTCCACATTTTGAATTCTGACATCTGCAAATTATTAAGGTCCTGCAAAATAAGTAAGGATTTTTCCTTTTTGCACTGAGAGGGGGCAGCCAATATTAATGATCAATTGTTTCAAAGTTGTTGTTTTTTTAGTCATTACTTGCTAGTTTGAAAAAGCAACAAATGCATTCAGTACATATATGGGGAAATGAATTATTTTGTTCATAGGTAAAAACTCTCATTCCCTTGACCCTTTCACTCCCAAGATCTCTTCAGTAATTCTCCTTACTGTTTGCCATGCCATTATTATGATGTAAGTTTGGAGAATTTGGTATTGGATCAACTAATAATCCTTACTAATAATTATTTTCCTTTATTCATATCACTTATCTGTTTGATGTTGTGTTGATATTTTGTAAGGAGAATTCCTGTCTTGGTCACTCATGCAAGTTAAAGGGTTAAATAAGGGTCATGAGTTTTGAAATTGGTTAATGATTGCAGTTGTAAAACGTTTTACTTGAATTCATTTTGTTGCACATTAAATATTTAAGAAACCAAGCACAATTTATAAAGTTTTGGAGACAGTCCTTGATGAATGTGCAAATTTATGTAGGATCTCAGTAATTTATTTTACATTCAACTCTCTGCTAATGGACACTCTTGTAAGTGCACAGCTCTATTTATGGACACTTTTTTCAATTTCCCATTTTTGTACCTAGACAAACTCTGTATTAAGTACACATTCCAGGAATTATTCTAACTTGTAGGTGGACAGCTCCATTAGCAGACACTTTTACCAGTTTAGAGGGTGCCCATTTAGGAGAGAGTTGACTGTACCAATCATGTTCTTTATCACTATCCTCAGTTCATACTTTTCACATTCCCTTCTTAGTTAAGCTTTTATTGATAAACATGAATAAGAAATTACAACAAGTTTTCTTTACTCTGCGATTTTGTTTATTTCACCAACAACATTCCTTGCTTAACATACTCAGTACAGCAACTATGGGCTAGTTTAAAAGCATCATGCTGCTAAACAAACTCTGTTAAAAAAAACAAAACAAAATGCTCTCTTTCTGATTATTTTTGTAACTAAACAGTGAATATGTCAGTCTCTATTAAATAATTAGGACCACATTGTGATGAATTCACTCTGTGAACTGAAAATAATAATAACTTAAAGAGAATAAAACCAAATAACAGGTTTGAAAATAAGCAACTTGGTCTGAATATTGACAGCTTAGAAATCATTCATGTTTTGGTTTATATTAAAGCTGTCCTAGGTTATCACATCAAGATAAAACCAACCATTGATTTGCACTATTGATTTCTTTCCATTTGGATATTAATTTTTAAAATGAAAGTAGTTTGTATGTTTTTCCAAAAGCAGCTCTGAGAACTCAGTGTATTTAAATATCTTTCTTGTTCATAATTGCCTTTTATGTTCACATGTATAACTCAAGCAGCTGCTTATGAACACAAAAAATTATGCAAAGAGATTTAAGTTGAAATGTTTCTCATGAAAATAAATAACTAAAGTCTTTGCACAAAGACATTAATTTTACTCAAAGTGTTTAAAAGAACACTGAAGGGTGGAATTGGCTTCTAAAGATAATGCAGTAAGAGGATTAAATTACTACAGTACCTTGGTTTAGTAGATGTTAACTTATAAACCTCAGTTTTTGCCATTTTTGGTTCAATGGTTATTATAATTGCCAAGAAAGTTATTTCAAGTTACTCACCTTTAATGACAGCTTGTTGTTTTTTTTTGTTCTGACAGTTACATTTCTAAGACATGGATTCCCATATTTCTAAAGAAAAACTGAGAAGTAAGATTGAAACAACTTATGGAAGAAAGAAATTAGATCTGTCAGGGTGGAATTTGCTTGAGGTGCCGGAAGCTGTGCTGGAACTAACTGAGTTGGAGAAATTTAATCTGTCAAGGAATAAACTTAAAAAAATGCCTGAAAATGTTGGAAAACTAAATAATATTATGGTACTTCTTGTAAGTGGAAACCAGCTGTCCATATTCCCTGCAAGTTTGACACAGCTGAAGAAACTTGAATGGCTAGACATCTCGCGTAACAAACTAACCACCATCCCTGATGCTATTGGTGAGATGGTGGGGCTGGAAGTACTGGGTCTGAGTTACAACCAGCTGACTGTGTTGAGTCCAGCAATAAAACAGCTGAAGAAACTCAAATGGCTGGACATCTCACATAACAAACTAACCACTATTCCTGATGCTATTGGTGAGATAGTGGGACTGTGGAGACTGGATCTGAGTTGCAACCAGTTGACTGTGTTGAGTCCAGCTATAACACAGCTGAAGAAACTCATAGAGCTGAACATCTCATTTAACAAACTAACCATCATCCCTGATGCTATTAGTGAGATGGTGGAACTGGAGAGACTGAATCTGCGTTGCAACCAGTTGACAGTGTCGAGTCCAGCTATAAAGCAGCTGAGGAAACTCAAATGGCTGGACATCTCACATAACAAACTATCCACCATCCCTGATGCTATTGGTGAGATAGTAGGGCTGGAGGAACTGGATCTGAGTTATAACCAGCTGACTGTGTTAGGTCCAGCTGTAAAACAGCTGAAGAAACTCCAATTGTTGTTTGTGAATGGGAATCCTTTTACAGTTGAAGGAATAAGAAGTGTTATGGAGCTAGAAAATAGAAGAATGATTGACCAAGTATATTCAGATCTCCAAGGTGAGTAAAGGAAATTTCTGGTCACACTAATGTTGTGACACGTGTATTTACTAAATTTACTAAATTAGTTCTAATGATTGACTTGCAAGTGGTTGTTCTGCTTGTTACTGATTATCACAAGTAGCTGGCAATAGCTACACAATAAAGCCTGAAGTAAATACCATCACAGTCACTGTATGATTTAACAATGTTGGCATCACTTAAGAAATACATGACTTTTGAATTGGAAGTTTTTGTTATATATTGAAAAGCTTTATTTTGACAATTTGGCTGACACTGAAATTTAAGTTCATCAATAAGGAAATATGATTTGATGTGGAATCAAGAGGGTTTATGTAATTACAAATTATTTTATGCAGTTAGGAGTTATTGTTTTGTGTTTTACCTTCTATTTGACTGGAATAATGAAAGGCTGAAGTGAATCTTGACTCATTCACTGTTAGGAATTGTTGTTTTATTTTTGCTTTCTATTTGATTAATTGGAAGTGTTTATAAATTGAATAACTTTTGGCTTATCAAACAAAATTTATAATCTAATACAATTTGTGAATTAAGTTACAGGAATAAAACTTAAATGTGTTTTAGTGTGACAGAATTCTGATCATTATTTCCATATAATTAAGACTGGTGGTTTTTTGTGTAATCTTTTTTAAACTTACAGTTGTTACGTTGTGGAAATATGCGCTTTTTCTCTCTCTTTTACAAACAATTTATTGGCTATTGACTCCTCACTACTTGGCAGAATTGTTATAAAGTCATTGCCTCTCTCTTGTGTATACATGCCGTCATAAGGGGTTCTAATTCTTAATGTTATGAAACATCGAGTCAGTTTAGTTTTGATGTGCATGTTCACCAAACTCATCACTACATTTCATGCCAGAAGAATTATTTTGACTGGCTGTGTAACGTTTATGTAAGAGTGGGTTAAACGACATGTTTTCTAAACTCACTAATGCATGAACATCAGAAAAAAAAACAATTTCGATGGTTTAGTTTTTGTATACCAGCCTTACTCCAAAATTATTCATGTTAGGCATTTGTAGTAGTTGATTTGTCAACTTTTACCTTTTTTCTAAAATTATTTTTTACAAATGAATACACAACTTACTTTTCCTTTGTGTTGTGAAAACTTTTTCTGATAAGACCAAATAGCAGATGGACATAAAGCACAGCTGGCTTATGAAAGGGCTTTGAAAGATGGATATGTCACCGTTTACCGTGGTAGAATATTACTCATTGGTCAGGATAGAGCTGGTAAAACCAGTTTAAAGAAGAGTCTCCTAAGCCTTCCATTTGACTCTAAAGAACAGAGTACTGAAGGCATTGAAGTGGATCCTTCAAAGTGTGAAATTGATGTTGACCAAGCTGTAAGGAACTGGCAGTCTATTGGTGAGAATAAACCAGGACTGCTGGAATGTTCTAAAGATGTGGCAAAGATTGTGGTAGAGAAAATATTTGTACAAGACAAGTTTGCCAGAAAAATGACTATGCAGCTAAAACATTTTGGAGAAGAAGATACAGATAAAAGTTCAAAAGAAGATTTTGAAAAAGATTCAGCCCATGTTTCACCAGCAGATTTTGGAGAGGGATCTTTTGATGGTTACAAATGTGGCAGGAAAAAGGTGCTGTAAGAGTTTCAAAAGTATTCTTTACAAATATGTTTAAGGCAGCTTTTTTATGTGACAGTATAGTTTAAAATGCTTAATGTCAAATAAAGATTATTTCAACCTTAAAGTGAAACAAAAATTGAAATTGTTAAATTTTGAAGTGATTTTTGTGTGTGTGCAATGGTTCTAGCCAAAAAGCAGGGAAGTGTTTGTGGTCTAAACAATAATTTCCCTCATCGCCTGAAGAAGACTAGCAGTAGGCAGTCAAAACGTTGCGATCTACATCACATGTGACTACATCGTGAGACAAAGGAAAAACTTAGCTTTTATTGTTATTCACCATGATGAATAACCACAACCTTTTCCACGAAATTTCCCTCCTGTTACATGTACTGTCATTTTATTTAATTTACATCAAACTTTGACATAATTATTTCAGATGTGGAATGAGTTTGCTGGCTAAACTAAATAACTGTGGTACTTAAAGTAGTTAATTTCACCTTATTTGATACTTCACTCAGGTTGGGGATAAAGGAGACTATGCGTCAGTAGATGCTATGGACAACATTAGCATTGAACACTCGATGGACTGCATCTCAGATGAGCCCAAGGTAATTATTGATGTCGCTCAACCCCCTGATACTGAAGAGCATGTTCATCAGTGGTTGAAGTATCTCCAAGGCAAAGACATAGAAAGTGGTTCATTCAAAGAAGAATCCTATGTCAAAATGGATATATGGGACTTTGCAGGGCAGCACCTGTACTATGCCAGCCATCCTATTTTCTTATCACAACGAGCATTATACATACTGGTGCACAATCTCAGCAAGCCTTTGGATGCCACAGCTGAGCCTTGCATGAGGCAAGGGAGTAATGATGTGAAGTTAGAAAACCCTAACAATGAAACAAACATGGAGAATTTGCTGTCATGGCTGGCTACAGTACACGGTGTTGCCCTGGCAACTGATGACCCGGAGGATGATGCACAACATAAGCTACCCTACCTTCGCCCCCCAGTGTTTATTGTTGGAACACATGCTGACAAACCAGTAGAAGACATAGAAGTAATAAAGAAACAAATACAGGAGAGAATTTCTGGTATGGAATATGAGAAGCATGTGGTCAGACCTTTATTCTGGATTGACAACACTCAGGGACAAAACTTGATTGACAACACTCAGGAACAAAACTTGATAAAGAAATTTATCCAGAAGATTCTAAACCAAAGAGAGAAACATAAAACAGGTAAGATATCTCATGTCATTTTGTATCCTTAACAATGTGTTACTTGTAGCAATTGATGGTTTTGTAATTGGTTACTAGCTTGTCTTTGGGTCAATTCCAACAACACTTAATTTGTGGCCATTTTCTTTTAATCAAAGGCCCATTTGGTAGATGGTTGGCAAGCATTAAGCATGCAATAATTATTATCTGACTCACATTTACATGAAACCCATCAGTTCTGCTGTGTGTCATTATAATTTTAAAAGGTTTGTAGACATGTAGAATGTCTCCGTGGGAGTGGTAAGTGAAGGATACCACCCTGGTTGAATGAGTTCAGGGTACTAATGGAGGCTGCACTCTTCTCAGCTTTCAGCTACTTTATGTACCAGCATCACTATACTGGGGTCTATAAATTTTTGCTGACAGATTCATCAATCTTAGAGTTTATAATAAGGAAGATGATTTTGGGAGTTGGAGAATTATCATCTAAGCTATGTTGTCAGCTATAAGATATCTGTGATCACACATGTATGCATGACACAAACTATTCTCATTGTAAGGACATGTTTCTGTGTTACATTTTGCTTTGAATTCATTTTCTAAACATATCCAGCAGAGGAAGAAGGAAAAGCGGATGGAATAGATAAATTGCAGGACAGAATCCTGGAGGTGTTGAGGCAGGAGCCCTATATGGGGGAGAAAATACCTGTCAGGTAAACCAAAATAACTTTTTATCTGGCAAACCTCATTTCATGGACTTTGGGATCAATGTTTCATTCAAACAGTCATGAGTAGTACTTTGAAGAGCAGTCAGTCTTTTGAGCATAACTGTATATGCATGTAAATGTATATCAACACAAAAGTATCTTACCTCCACTAGTTTGAAGTTCATCAAAACTCTTAAAACATCAGACTATACAAATACACTGCAGTCATTTAAGTGCAAACAAACAAAACTCTAATTCATGACATTGTGACAATACTGTCTCTAAAAAGGTGTGAATGTCTGATGGATATTTGAGAAGGCACAGCTCTTTGAATTGAGATTGTTCATGCGAAAAACACAACCATGTTTGAATTTTCCTAAAGTTTGGAGATAGCTAGATAGAGAAAATAGATGAATTAATACTGGAAGACTACAAATAAGTACACGTCTAAATGAAGTTAATATCCAATTTTTAACCCCAATACATTTTAACTATTCTGTTGCCTTCTAGATGGTTTTTGTTTGAAAAGGTAATTGAAGCTTTGCTGGGCAAACAGATTTATCACAGAAATCTGCAACACCTTAAGCACTATGCAAGGAGAGATTGTTTCATAGAAGATGCAAAAGAGTTTGAGTCCATGGTCAGTTTTTATCATGGTCTGGGGATGATAATCAAGCACCGCAGTACAGTTGTACTGAAGGCTCAGTGGTTGATTGATCTGTTCAAACAGCTAATAACCATTCCACCTTTCAATAAACAGGTAGGAAAAAAGATTCATTTTTGCAATCATCTTTAATCTTTACAATTGCGGACCCCAAGTTGTTTGATGTACCTTTTTAGTTTTTCAGGTCATAAATTGGCTTGGCCTTTTTACTTTACAAGAGACTTGAATTGACTTGCTACCGCCCAAAATAATTGCACTCATACAAGTGAATAGTTCTTTTTGCTTGCGCTAATTGTTTTTTACTGTGCTGAGTAACAACTAATAATCACCTCTGAGCAGTCCAAGATACAAAATTTTTAGTTCTTGTACATAAACGTGTAAAAAATTCAAAAGGAAAATTTAGTGGACCACTCTTATCTGGAATTTATGTTATTTATATATCTTGTAGATTCCCCTATATGCTGAGTACTGGCAGAAACTTGAAGGAAGTGGCATCCTTAGTATGGAACTTGTTGATCATGTGTTCTCCAACTTTATTGATCGAGGAATCATTAGAGAAGACATCTTAGACATGATGGAGCAATTTGGTTTGATCGCTAAGTTCTCAGCATCCCTAACTGATGAGAAGTACTTTGTACCAGCTCAGTTGAAGTCATCGCCTGAAGAACTCTGTAAGATGGAACCATCATCAACTGATCCATGTCCATTATATCTCCTCTTTGTCCATGGCTTTGTCCCTCATGGTCTCTTCTTGCAGCTTGTCTCGCGATCCATTCGTTGGTGTTCAAAGACATGGGCCACGCATCAACCTAGCCTGTACCAAAATGGAGCATGGTTCATCATTGGGAAAGATATTCATGATTTTGTCCTCATATGCAAAACAGGATTCGTGAAGGTAATCTTGAGACAAAGAGAAGTACAAAGTCATCAGGTTGTGGGACAGAACTCCATCAAACTAGCACCTCTTGTTCGTGAATTTCTTGAAGACACCCTGAAGAATTTGTCACAAGAAATGGCATACCTGAGGGGACTGCGGTATAGGCTGTGTGTTGCATGTCCTTACTGTCATGAAGGAGCAGAAGAAACACGTCGTGCATGCTCAGATCACGTGAAAACCACTTGCACACACAAGGACTGCTTCCACCTCATTGATGCAAATGAAGGTCAACCAGACATCTGCAAGCGAAAACCTTGCAATAAGGTGGAACCAGTGTCTGGATTGAAGAACTGGTTCTTGAAAAGAAGATCCCAGGTATAATTGATTATAATGATCTTTCAAGCAAAGATTTCTAGCCTCAGTTTTATCTTTGCTTTGTTCCTCTAACTTGACGAGAATATCAATTGGGCTGTGATCAGTGTTGAGAAAGGGAGCCTGATAGATTGACTTCAGGTTTAAATTTTATACTTTTTGGAATTTTATGCTTTTTTTGTTTTTCCTTGGTAAAGTATTAATCAATAAAAATTTGTATGAACACATCCAAAGTCTTTTTATGTAATTATCATAATCTTATATGACCCTTTCTTTCTTCAGGGTTTGTTCTCTTCAAATGAAGCTGCTAGATCCCATGATGAAGCAAGTGAAATCAATTCAATGAAGTCTGCCGCAGCATTGAAGGTGACTCTCCTTTGCAATGAGTGGAGTTCCTCAATGGGGGGCTTGTCCACCATTAACAGACAGCTTGCCATTCTGTTGGCCAAGCACTCTGAAGTGGACGTTACCCTCCTTGTCCCACAGTTTGCTTGTTCTGAAGAAGAGAGGAGAATGGCTCGAATTCACAATGTGTCCCTCAGAGAGGCACAAAAACGTCCAGGTTATGCCGACTCCCTTGACTGGCTGAGTGCCCCACCGAGAGATCTGGACATTGACATAGTGCTGGGTCATGGAGCAAAGCTTGGTAAACAAGCTCAATTCTTTAGAGAATCGCACCAGTGCAAGTGGATACAGGTAGTGCACACTGCGCCCGAAGAACTTGCAATGCACAAAAACTATCCCAAGGCTATTTCTAAAGGTGAAGAGAAGAATTTAACTGAAGTGACTTTGTGTAAGTTGGCAGATGCTGTGCTAGCAGTCGGACCAAAGCTAACAGACGCTTTCTCCGCTCAGCTCCGCTCATGCAAGAGTGAAAACGACATCCTTCAACTGACTCCTGGAACTTTCCGTGAGTTCTCTGACGTAAAACAAGCCCCAAAGGAGAGTAACAAGTTTAAGGTACTGACGTTTGGCCGTGGTGACCCAGAGGACTTTAGCCTTAAAGGTTACGATATCTCTGCCAGAGCAATAGTTGAACTAAAAGACAGGTCTTACTGTCTCATCTTCGTGGGTGCACCTGACGGTAAACAGGATGAGGTTGCAGCAAATTTGCTGAAGAGTGGAATTGATAAAAACCAGCTGACCGTGAGGAAGTTTGTGCACAGCAAAGAGAGATTGAAAGAATTATTTTGTGAAGTTGATCTCTGCATCATGCCCTCTAGAACAGAGGGTTTTGGTTTGACAGCGTTAGAAGCGTTGTCTGCTGGTCTTCCAATTCTTGTGAGTGGAAACTCAGGATTTGGTGAAGCACTGTGCACTGTGCCATCAGGCAAATCATTCGTGGTGGAGTCTGAGGACCCAGGGGAGTGGGCAAAGGCAATTGCTGGTGTCCGACAGAAGGAGAGATCAGATCGACTTCAAGATATTCAGCAACTGAGGAGTTCATATGAAGAGAAGTTTAGCTGGGAGAAACAGTGTGACAGTCTTGTGGAGAAGATGTGGGACATAGTTCATGGTGAGAATGTTTTGAATATCCTTCAAAAAGTGATTTAGGGGGCTCCTCTGGTTTCGGTCTTTTATTACCTGTGATTTAAAGCATAAACACCTATAAAAAAGATGTTAAACATGAATAGTAATCAGTCATTTTAGCATATTGTTGTTTTCTGTGATATTAAAAAAATATTTCTTTCTATCTTTTTAGCTTCTAAAAGACGAGACACAAGTTTTAGAGCTCGGCAAGGCACAGCAACTGAACAACTTACAGTTGATTCATTACTGACTCCAAGTGAGTAAAAGAATTTAATAACACATGATAATTGACATCCCCAAAGAAGTACAGACAGGTTACAAGGAGATCCAGCAATTTTCTCTCCTTAACTTTGGCTTCAGGCCAGCTATGCTTCGTAAAAACTTAGCAAGGTACTTTTAACTTATGAGACATGTTTGTACTTATTCCCCTGCACTCTTCAGTCCCAAACGTAAAACGTGTACAAACACATTTTATTTCCTTTTACTTCCTGATCCGAACAGACGGCTAGGTGTTGATACAGTTGTCTTTCGAAGCAATAATGAAGTAATCACATATTCATAAGGTAGAGGAAATACATCAGAATATTTTTGAAGCTCGTACTCTCTTGCTTATTAGTGTATTCATTCACGGGCAGAAATCGAACTTAAACAGTAACGTAATTGACGGCTACAGCTTCCTTTTTAAGGATGAGTTGTTGGACAAAACAGAAGTCTGGTGATTGAAGCTATTTTCGTTTTTACCCTAAGGTTTCTTCTATTAGATTGAGAATTGTTATTTTCCAACAGACGATTCTTCCGCTTTTTTCATGAAGTCAGATTACTAAAAACCTTGTCTTTTCTAGGTTCTCTTGACCGAATCATCCAGGAACTTCAGCAGATGCAACTCGATGCAAGGAAAGTCAAGAGCAGAACAGATCTATCATTGGGGCTAAGGAATATTGCATCAGACAGGGGCTTCAGAATATCTGACAATCAAGGATTAGGAAATTGCATGTTCTACGCCTTGTCCGAACAACTGGAAATTGTTAAGGGAATCAAAATCCCACATGGCGAATTAAGACAAAACCTGGTTCAGTACCTCAGGGGTAACCCAAAACTTGTAAGTTGATGTTAGTATGTCTAACAGAGTATGTCACGTGATGTTATTTAAAGAGTATGATAAAGGTTTACCGATAATACAGGCTACTTGGCTAACACTATTAGAACCTATCCCAGTTTTCAAAGCATGAAGTCAACCAGAAATATTGTTACTCCTCCTGTATGGAATGATGGTCTTTTTTTCAGGAGTTCTGATACCAGCTCGCACTCTTGGTGGAAAGGGGAACTTGAAATATTTAACTTTATTATTCAAGAAGCCACACAATGACGTTCGTTACAGTTAAATTCATATATGATGTAATGTGGTGTCTGAAGAAGCAGGCCAACCCGGGTTTAGTCATTTGAATATTTAGTTCAAAAAAAAGTTGGCTTTAAACCTCTATCAGATAACAGAATTATAGTCAAAGCGTTTTGAAACATACACGGACGTTTTGAAAGACGTTTCAATCACAAAAATTTGTTACTATGCAGTAAATTGCTACTCGAAGGTTGTTTCGTACCATTCTCATAAAGTTACTACCTGACTTTTACTCCATGCGCTCAAGTTCCTATCAACAATCCTTTTAAGTTTCTTCCTTTTATTGATTCTTCTTACAGCCGGATGGAACAGATCTGTTTGACTTTGTCCATGGATTTCAAACATGGACTGAATACCTGGTACACATGGAACAAGATGGTGCTTGGGGTGATCACGTGATTCTGTGTGCCGCAGCAAACTCCTTTGGAACGTGTATTCGTGTGGTCAGCAGTCTATCCCATAGCAATGATGTAATCATTACGCCACATTGTCCAGTTGACGAAAGCAAACCTCTTGTGCTGGGACATATTCATGAGGTGCACTATGTCAGCCTTCAACCCGTGCAAGGTACAGCTCATCACATTACTCCAATTAAATGTAATTTCTGTTTTATAGTGATATTTGTTAGTTAGGATCCTCAGTCTTCTTTTTAATACCTAGTTGACAACAATCACCCTTTGTGGTTTTCATATTTCAGGCTTCATCGTTGGCTCCCATCTCAACAATCAAACGCAGTTCAAGCGGTCTCTTGTTCTCCCTTGCCATTAAATCACGGTGTTCTGATTATTTTGTTTACAGGTTAAAGTGGCAGGCTCCTACAGTCACTTTGATCGGCCCTTGTGAAGAGCCCGGCCTAATAGAATGACTTCATAGCCACACAGACTATTGATGGAAATTGGCCAACCAGAGCTTTCTTCAGCCTGATTTATCCAAGATGAACTTTACAATCTTAGGTTTAATCGGAAGTTGTATAGTATTAGTTGGCTAATGTACTGCATGAAAAGGAAAACAACCCAAATGACATGGGGTGTATATAGAAAGGACATCACACCGTGAAAAGTTATCGTAACTATTAAAAAGTATTCATGTCTACGGGGAACACAAACTATTACCAATGTTAAACTTTATTTAGGGGGTTTGAATCATGAACTCGATTACTCTTAATTTTAATGGACAAACAAAAACATTCCTTGCAACGTACCATCTGTATGTAGAGCTGAATAACAACTTGCATTCTTCATAGATCGATATTTTAAAACGTAATCGAGGTAATTCTTATACAAAGAAATAATAACACATTTGATCGCGGTTTAAATCATACTGTTCGATCAGAATGCTGCTTTAGGCTCTACAGCACCATGATCTCAGCAATGCATGGAATAAACAGCACTTACAGTAATATGCTTTCTTCCCACATTTAGAAGGCAATCGATAAATGAGATAAACTGCAGAAGTCCGTTGGCTTGAAGTGCCTATACTGATTAACATGTAAAAATTAGAAAATCGAGGTTTTTAAGGGTTCAAGACTCCAGTCTGAACTGATGAGTTGGAAACGTTCCAAATAATAGTACTTTGATGGAGTTTAGGCCGGAGCTATTTTCGGATCTAATTGATGTCAAGTTTAATACCGATTGAATTTCTTTTCCTTACGTTCAGCTTCAAACAGCATTTCAGAGCATTTACAACCATAACTCAACATAGCGTCATAGAACACTCCAACAAAATTTTGCACTCTACGGCTAATTTCGATACTGGCGCTGACGAAGCGACCTCCATTATTGTTTAACCCTTTAACTCCCAGGTCAAATTTGTAATTCTCCTTACTGTCAACGATACAATTCTTATAATATTAGATCAGAGAATTTAATATTGGATCAACCTATTTTCCCCAAATTGATATTTTTCTATATTCTCACTACTCATCTGGTTGATATTGTATTTATATTGTAAGGAGAAATTCTGTCTTGGTCACTCATGGGAGTTAAAGGGTTACGATCACAAGGTTTCTATCGAGAGGAAGTCATCGCGCCGATAAAAATTGTGTGACTTCACAAAGTTGACGACAGAGTGTGCCACGACTTGTTTCCTTGCAGTTACAACTATAATGTAAACCCCTGAGACAGTCATAAAGTCATATTTAGCTTCTTGCATGCCTTGTCGTGTCTCGCGACCCGCTCCCCGTCTCTCGCACGAACAGTTTCATTTTCTCGCTCATGCGACATTTTTGGTGCGTTGTGCCTCGTTTGTCGACATTGGTTTTCCCAAGTGAAGATAAGATTTCATGTGATTGGCTTCTTCATTGTCACTTACGAAAAAAAAACAGGTTCATGGGAGATTAACAGCAATTCTTCTTTCGGAATCCAGTTATGAATCAAATAATAACAGTTGTTATCGGTTAAGACGGACAGGAACTTGGATATTTCACTAAACATCATAAGTCGTGCAAAATCGGATTTGATCAGCTCCCTATGCAACGGCATAGCGACCTCCATTCCCTTTGCGGTATTTGGATCTAAGCTAATTAATGAATGGAATAGTTTATCTAATAACATTCGAGAATCAAATAGTATTGCAGCCTTTAAAAGGAATGTTTTAAATTTTATTGAGGATAATTAGAACTTTTATTTCTATATTTGTATATATTTCTCTTACACCTTAATTAGTAGGACATCCCTAGCATGGTGCGTCAGCGCTTTTGGTTGTCTCCTTCTCCACAACGTTTCTTTATTGTAGTGATAAATTTCATGTATTATTTATTCATAATCTAGTGGAGTGAATATCAAAGAGAACAAATGAACAAAATAATAGCGAAACACGTGTGTTTTATAACTTTGTAAATTTCCTAGCTGTCCCATACAGAACCAAAACGTGAAACACCGACTTTAAGTCCTCTTAGCAATGAAACCTCGACAGCAATTTAATCGCGGTTTTACATTGAACTCAACAAGACGCCAACGTTTTACCACACGTCGCCGTAAAGAAATCTTAACTCCCTCAGTTCAAGCGCGACAACAACCTCGAGAAACTTCACCCCGGGATCCCGGCTTGTAAGAATGAATGTAAACACGGGCTATTTTCGATCATGGCCAGGCAGGTTACCTCACCTACCTGGAGTCTGTAGAATGCCGAATAGAGCACCGTGCCGAAAAGAGCACGACGCATAAATTATGACTGATTATGCAATTGAAGCCATCTGGCTACTCAGTATTTGTCGTGCAAGATACGGCTTCGTCGAATTGCTCTCTCTGTATACGCTGTCCTTTCGGTGACATACTTAGTTTGGTGCTGGATTCTTGTCTAATCTTTAAGTTACTTATTTTACAAAAAGTCAAAACAGCCCACAAGACGCTCACATCCCCAAGTGTAACGTTGCGTAAATTGAGTACTGCGGGTCTCCCAATTCTCACTTAGTTTAACCATTACTTAAGTAGCATTATTTAAATTTAGGCAGCGAGATTTTTCCATGTTTATTGATGTCTGATATTAACCTTTGTTCCCTTAAACCCAGTCGTTCGAGGTTTTTTTTTCCTTCGTCAGTGGCTGTGTTGTCAATGAATCCATTTTTAGTCTTTAATCACAAATCAGCGCTGAGCTCTAAATTCCCATAGCAGTTGTGATAGCCTCACTGAATCATTTGCAACTTATTGTGCTTTAGTGAAATAAAGGCAAATAAAAACGTTAACCAAATTTGTAAAAAATATATTTTTGCTTGAATAATGCAACTGGCCGCCGGTTGTAAAACCTGTAACTGGATTGGCACTCAATTGCCATGTTGACTTCATAGGCAGGTAATTTTCAGAGGACTGGAACTCGGTTTCCCTGCACCTGCTATATAAGGTGAAACGGAGGCGAGGTAACACGTTCCCTTGCTTCCGTTTCACCTGGGTGGGGGGCAGGTGCGTCTATACGTAGGCTAATTAATTTTGTGCTCTCTGCGACATCTGCTCACCAGGAATTTTCTTTCAAATTATTCATCACTACGGTAAAACAGACTAAACGTGTGAATTCCGCGTAGCGGTATGTTGTCCTGAAAATTTACTATGATTTTCATGATAATTTGGTTTTATCAACTGAGTTGATAACTAAGATGGCCGCTGTAAAGAGTTACTAAAGATGACCTCTTGATTGCTAACCCTTCGTTAGAGCGAATGACGATGGGCTATCGCTCGAAACGTCAGCTGTAAAAACTATTTACGATGGCCGATTTATATGCACTATCAAATCAGTTGATAAAATTAAGTTATTTTCTAATACTGACGCAGTCTTACAGTTTCTTTGGAAACTTACCCCCTTTAGGATTTTCACTGTCTGTTTACGAGCAAGATTTAGTCGCTCAAGATTAATTGGTGTCTATTCTACCGTCTTCGAGAAGAGCCTTATCTAAAAATAAAATGATGAGAATAAAAACGTTTATGGTTTGATTTATTTTCTGGTTCTAACAGGTACTTCAGAGGAATTGTAATCCTAATTAGAAATTCTTTAAAAATTGCTTTGATAATATTTCAAATATAGATTTATTTTGAGCTCACCTCTCATGCATTGCATGGCCAGAGTTCTAAAGAACTGTTTGGTTTTGGTCTCAAAATAAAGAATTCAAAAGCTTGAAGTCAACATTTACGCACTCTGTGTAAATTTTATTACAAATGGGACAAAGAATAAAGAGCTCAACTGCAAAGAGAATTCTTTAGTTTTAGTTTAAAAAAAAGTATTCAAAAGTATGAATAACTCAACCTGTGGGTTTAATGTGAAAATGTTATCACAAATTGAACAAAGAAATTAAAGCTCTATACTGCAAACAGAATTCTTTAGCTTTAGTTTAAAAAATAAAGTAGTCAAAAGATTGAAGACAGGCCTTTAGTGTAACGTGTACTGAAATGTTACCATAATTCGAATTCTTTAATTTTGCTCACAAAACAAGGTTTTTTTAAGGGTGAGATCAAACTCATAGCGTTTTGTGCAAATTTTAATATAAATTGGACAATGAAGAAGAAGCTGTAATGCAGATGCAATTCAAGTTTTGGTTTCAAACTAAAGCTAACCTTAATGAGAAAATTTTGTCACAATTTGGACAAAGAAGAAAAGAGCTATGATACATATAGCTCTATAAGATATATATACACTATATACATACATATATATATATATATATATATATATATATATATACTAGAAGTTCTCAGAGACGTTCATTACGAATGTTTCAGGTATATGGAATGTTTTGGGTTCTTCATGAATATTCTATGGCGTTACGTTCTCGTCTGCAAGAGACGAATGTGCTGGAAATTTCATTTGCCTGTGTATCAAATAAATAAAACACAAAGTCAAACTTCCTTTAGTGCCAAGTTCATGTCGCAATTCTCCCCAATTTGGACAACAAATGATGTTTCACTTTATCGAATGAAGAATATGTAAGCGATGTTAAACGTTAGAAACCTAGAAACTGTAAAACTGCTGCTTTTACGAAAAGTAAAAAAGCAACTTTTTTTCTGCATTTGCCATAAGATTTTAAGGCATCAAGAAACAGTTAAATTTTCGATTTTAAAGAAAGACCCAATTTATTAAAAAAATTTCGCGTTGTTCTTGACGAGAT